GTGTGACTGAATTACTGAGTAGGAAATCACCACTGGATTGTTTTCCACATAAACTCCTTATCGTTTTGGTTCTGCATCTTTCAGATGGAGTTCTCACAGATCACATACAGATAAATGACAATCACTGGTTATAGCAGTTTCTAAACTATGCTGGTTTTTTATCCTGTCTCAAGAAATTTTTGAAAATGGGTGCATAATAGCAAATAATTTGTCTGCCACTGCTTTCTAGTTAAAACTGGGGCAGTTTTTAACCACTTGGGACTGTTAATTTCAGATATCCCCAACTGAAATTTAGAAGGTCTTATGGGAAAAAGACAAAAACACATTGTTATGTACATTTCATCACAGAAAAAAACTTTTAATGAGTTTTCTTTCAATGCAGTAATTTACAACAGAACAAATGAAATGTGTATTTCTTATATTAAAAGTACATTTTCATATAAGCAGTATGTGATAACCTCACATTTTTTAGAGATGATGCTATAGTGTTTTTTTAGTTTACTTTTTATATTTATTATTTTTATGTGTATGAGTATATTGTCTACATGTATCTAAGTGCACCTATGTTATGCAATGCCCTCAGAGGTCAGAAGAGGGTGCTGAAGTCTCCTGGAACTGGAGTTACCAACCCAATTGTTGTTGGTTGCCATGTGGATGGCTGGGAATTAAACCCCAGTCCTCTGCAAGAGCAGCCAGTGCTCTTAACTGTTGAGCTATCTCTCTAGTCCCTATTTTTTTTTAATGAAAAAAAATCTATTTAATAACCACATAATTAGTAGAAGCATTTCATTGCAACAGCATTGACATAGTCAATAACAGTTTCCAAAGCAAAGATGCATCTCTTTCAAAATTGGCTATAAATTTTTAGGTTCACAGTGTTGAATTAATACAGTTATACCTTATTGTACTCAGTATAAACCCTATAAGACATAAAATTGAATGAGGTTTCAACCTTTAAAAAAAGATCTCCATTTCTTTTTAAAATACACTGTTTCATACAGAAAAGCTCCTTTTTATAATGCAACTAACACTTAGATATTTGCACATGCCTAGTTTGTTTTTTAAAGACCTACACACCTATAAAACAACTTTTTAAAAATGTGTATGAGTGTATTGCCTACATGTAGTGCACCTGTGTCACAGAAGAGGCTGCCCACGGAGGACAGAAGAGGCTGTGGGATCCCCTGGAACTGGAGTTATGGACAGTTGTTAGCTGCCATGTGGGTGCTGGGATTCAAACCCGGGTCTTCTGCAAGAACAGTCAGTGTTCTTAACCTCTGAGCCATCTTTCCAGTCCCCAATATTCTTTTTAATTGTGCAGGTGACTGCAGTGTAGGAGTTACAAGCTGCTGTGAGACACCCAGCATGGATGCTGGGAATTGAACTCTGGAAGAGTAGTATGCTACATGCTCTTAACTGCTTGAGCCATCTCTCCAGCCCCAAAACAACTTTAATAAGATAAAAAAAAGACAATTTTATGCTACCTTGCAACCCATAAATATCTAATTTATTGCCAAGACTTTCCATTTTGAAAGTTGGAAAATACTTTCAAATGGATACTAATCCAAAACTAAGCACACAATTTTCTAAGACAGGAAGTCTCCCTTGTTTGATTATGCACCAGACTACAAAAATAAAGTGGTTTGTGTAGAGGCTATATTCATATATAAAAAAGACAATCTCCCAGGGTATGGTGGTATACTCCTTTAATCCCAGCACTCAGAAGGCAGAGGCAGGTGAATCTCTGAGTTCAAGGTCAGTCCCGTCTATACAGTAAGCTCCAGGCCAGCCAAAGCTACAGAGTGAGATCTTGCCCTGCCCGCCTCCCCCCGCCCCCGCCCCAAAAAAGTTGCCTTTATCCCAGCAATTGGGAGGAAGAGGCAGGCAGATCTCTTTGAGACTGAGGCCAGCTTGATCTACATAGTAACAGTTCAACTATAAGGAGACCATGTCTCAAAATATCTGCAATTTTCTAATCACTGAACAACACTTGGAAATTAGTTCATCAATGTGTTTGCAAATCTATTTGCTCACCTGATAAACATCCTTAAAATTCCATTCTAGTGAATTCTTTTAGTATCATGGAAATGAAGTCAGAAATTTCAAGGACCAACCTTAGGACTCCCTCAGTGAGATTCTGTGGTTGAGCCCTGACTTTAATATATCTTAATATGAATTTAAGTTATTCTGAAAAATTCCAAACAAATGAGGGCAAAGGTAGATAGACATCAAATAATTACCTTCTCTAATCTAGCACCTCTCAAAAAAACCTAGACATTTCATTAATTTTTTGTTGTGCTGATAAATATACAAGTCACTACTTCCTAAAGGTTTCACCTATTCCTGCCTAACAGGACGCAGCAGCTGCTGTCAAACCAATCTTAAGCACTGGCCAACACATTCTCTACCATAAAAAGCCACCAGAGAATCAAAGCCAGACCAGATGTCCAGTCTTCAGTCCCTCCCAAGGTCAAAGCCAAAAATATCTCCTGAGCCAAATAGGAATTCTTGGCACTAAAGTCCATCCTTATAGGCCCTTTCTAGAGATGTGCCATTTTAAATGGGTTGCAGAAGTTATTAACTAGATGAACATAAGATATTCATCACATGGACCCATTACCAGCAGGGAGAGAGGAGAGAGCAGGGCCCAAGAAAATGAGCCAGATCAGGGAAGGTACAGGGAAGGTACAGAATACTCTACTGCAGTAAGGAGTGCTGAAGGCCAGAGCAACAAAACAGAAAGTAAAGTCATTTCTTTATAAACATACAGGTCAGTGAAACCACTGACAATATTTTAAGTGAAACCTATGCGCCCTGAATTACTGAAACTGTTCTTTATTAACACACCCATCTCTTTACATAATGATATATAGGAAAATGAGAAACACTTTATTCAAAGAGGCTCAATGTGTAACAAGTGTCAATATAAAGCTTGATAAATTCTCCAATCACCTATCCTAAAATGACAACAAACAGCAGAAGACCTTTGGTAAAATTGTATGTGCATATTTCTGCATTCAAAGTATGTATAAAATAAAAATACTTTCTATTATACCATATTAAGTTTTGAAAATTCTACAGCAAAGTTTCAAACGTTTTGAAGTAAATAGTCTACTTTAAAACCTGCAAAGCACCTTAAATTAGTAGCATCTAATATCTTCACGACTTCATATATTGTAATGTCTATTTTCCTTGATAAAAAAGGGCAGATAAGACTCCAAGGAGAGATTATCACATTAACTAAAATGGTACTCTGCCAATCTGTTTCCAGCATGGACTTTGAGAATCTGGAAGATAGGAAAGAATTAGAAGTCTGATTTCCTACATGAAAGTTGAACCACTGCTTTTTTCGTTCCCTAGGATTTTTCCATTGTCCTCCCAAATGTGACAATGTGAAAATACATTTAAAGCAGGATACTTTATGGGAGAAGAAAACATTTTAACTTTAATATGTGACAATTTTCTTTAATTCTATCGAGGGAGATTCAGTAAATCAAACCAGCATTATACTTAACTAAATGAGTGACTCAATCTTGTTACATAGACATTTGTTTTAATTGAGTGAAATTTCATATTTAAAATCCTACAAATACAGAAGCTCCAGGTATTCTGCCTAGAACAAAGAATAAGCCTTGGGATATCGATTTGCAAGGACCTAATATTAAAACATATTTTACACTCAAGTACCAGATGGTTCATATGGTGCCTTTTCTGCTCAAATCTTCCTTAATTCTCTGGATAACTTTACCAAACTATTCTTAGAGCCTTGGTAATTACAAATACAATCCAAATGAGAAAGTAAACTCAAAACTGTCATCATTAAGCCTAATTAAACAGCACAGACAGAAAGATGGCAGTAGAATAAAGCATTCTCAATTAAAAACAAGGAATCTAATGAGTAGTTCACGGCCCCAGGAATGAAGCAGAGTACACAGCAAAGTGGCCTGGGGTGCGGATAGAGTGGGCTACGTGTCTCCTGGCCTCTTGGGTGGCAAGAAACCCACCCAACCAAGGATACACTTGCCTCCTATAAATCTGATTCTCTACCTACTTGAAGTAATCAACTAAACACAGGAAATACATGCCAATTAGAGAGTGAAACCTGTAATTTCATTATATCCTGCCGTTTATTAGCAGTTTTCCTACTTTACATCCCAAAGGGGAATCCTTGTACTCAACACAGCAGAACGGAAGACATTTCACCCCTGGGCTGTGACTCTAGCTCTTCTGACCCAAACAAAAGCCATGGTTTTCAATGGGGTGAGATTTGTTCCCGCATTCAGTAAAGGATTGTGGCTGTTTTCAGGACCCAGGCTGCCTTGCCTCTCAGTCCCTGTCACAGTGTGATATCACCGTGACCCAGTGCTATCAATGAGTCTCAGACTAGAAGAAAATCGATCTCGAGAGCTGGGTAAAGATGTTTGACCGCCTTGCAGAGTGCTGGAGCTGCAGACCAGGGTGGCACTGCGGGCAAGCATCTCGGCCGTCCGGAGCAGGGGCGAGCCAGTCTCCCGTTAAGTTTCCTTCCCTTTTTGGCACTAGATGGCCGGGTGCAGACCGGCCCCACCCCGCGCTATTACGGAAAGACATGCGGGCAGCGCCGAAGGACGCGCGGACAGCTCCCGCCACGCCACACCGCGCAAGTTGGCTTTCGCAGCGGTGGTCGCTCAACTCCGACAGCCCAAGCCCCGGCCGCGGCCACCTTCCCCGGGAGAAGCCGGTGCCAACTTTCCGCCGCCCCCTCCCCTGTACACTCAGCACAAACTTTGTGTCTCGCTCACCTGGCCGCGCGGCGCAGGGCTCGGGGGCCACCTGGGGCGGCGGACTGACCTTCACACCCGCGCCGGCGGTCCCCAGCCGCCGCCGCCCCTCGGCGGCCCCGGGCCCCGTGCGAAGCCCTTGGCGGGGGCCGGCTACAACCCCAACCCGCGTGTCACAACTGCCCGCGCCCCTCTGCGCCCCGAGACCTCGGGAAGCAGCGTCTCGGACCAGCCACTCACCATTGGTGAAAGGCTCCATCTTCCCCCCCGCCGCGGCTCCTCACAAGCCGAGCGCCTGAGCTTCCGACTCCGCGAGCTGAAGCGGCCCGGTCGACTGAGCATGCCCAGCGAGGCCTCTCAGTACAGCCGGGAGGTGCGGCGAGTGGCGGCGCCGCTCCACCGCTCGGAAATGTTCCGTTCCGGGTTTTTGCAAACGTTGCAGAAAGACTCAAGAGGCCAGAGGCAGTCAAAGTGGCTCACCTCCCGCCGACTTCTGGGAGAGGAGGAAGAGCGTGCGGGGCTGGGGGCAGGAGACTGGGCGTGGTCTCTTCAAGCCCCGCCCCCAGCGGCTAGCTGTGGTCTTCCTCAGCCAATGAGCGTACCCGCTGCGTCCCGCCTGGGAGCCGGGGCACAGAACCCAGCTCTGCTCCAGGAAACGCGGCCTCGAGGCCCTGTAAACAGGATGCGCCTGAGACTACGAGCGCAAAAGACACGCGAGAGCACAGCAGTAAAGTAGGGCGCTGAGAGTGGGCAGCTCTTTCCGGCGGTGTGCCAGGCCTCACTGAGGAGCTGGGGCCGAAGTCAGGATCTGGAAGTAGAGGGGGAACGAAGGCCCCGTAGGGAGGGCTAGATCGGGATAGCGCTCTTCCGGCTGAGGAGCTAGCGCCGGTGCTGTTGAGCAGGACTTCCCGCCACTAATGGAGCCTTTGCAGAGGAGCGTAGATGCTGAGTGCGGGCGGGCGGGATCGAGCCTGGCAGCTTGCAGGGGCGCGGCCTGGAGGTGCGGGCGGATTGCAAAACCCGGCATGGCGTCCAGCCGGAACGCGTAGGATTGGGGCCGAGGCCCACCCCAGATCCAGCCCTAAATCTACACCTGCGGGTCACTCGCGCGCAGCCGCTGCACCCGTGGCTAAGCCCCGCAGTGCTAGACCCAAGGAAACTCTCGAGTTGCCCCTGCCCCCCCCCAGCCCCTGTGCCATTGCCCCCGCCTCAGCTCCCCATTGTTTCCGAAGCCAGATTGGGGCAGCCCCTGCTGGCCTCGCAGGCGGATCCCCAGCGGCCGCCGGCAAGGCTCATCCTCTTCTCTCAGAGTGCTCATCGCCGGTAGGAAGCAGCCGCAGCCCTCGCCTCGTGCAGACAACGCTCCCCCCTCTCCTGCCCTCCCTCCCCTCCCTTCCCGAAGCCCGGGCCCCTGCCGCGACTTGGCTCAGACTATGCCTCACTGCGCCTGCCAACTGTCACAGGCTCCTCCGGGGCTGTCAACAGCAGGGCATCGAGTGCAAAGAGTCTAGGCTAAGTAAATATCCTGGGCTAAAAGAGAGCAGCAGCGATGTTTGACCAATATGGGAATTAGAAATTAGATTCAGAGAAGTAAAGCCAAAGTGCAATATTGTATTTTAAAACACCAGTTGTGTTACACTCCTTTCTTCCCACTCCTGTTTTAACACTTCCTATGAATACCCAGTGTACTTGGAATTTTAAAAGCTAAACTCCTGACCTAACTCTGGGCCCTCATCAACATGGTCCTCCTGTGCTGTCCACCGAGGCCTTCATGCGGTTTCTAGAAGTTGCCAAGTTTCATCCAGCATTGCTAACTATTCCTGTATGAACGTTCCTTGCAGAACTGTTCCACTGCTTGGTATTTTGCTTGCTTATTTCTTCCGGTCATTTTCTTAGCTCAGATGTCACCTCTGCAGAAAGCCTTCTGACCACACACCTAAAATAGCCACAGACAGCCCTATAAAGACTACCCCCATTGTTTTCTTTAAAAGTACACGTTGCTGGCCCAAAAACGTTCTTTTGTTTGTCACTTAAACATCAGTCTTCCTGTCAAGAATACAAGTTTTGGGGGGCAGGTCATTTTGTTTTAGAAGGGCTGTATCCTAATTCCTAAATAAGTATGCAATGAAAAATTTTTAGTAAGTGCAGTGGTATTTAGAGTTCTAATTCACTGCCCATGTTAACACTCTTTGAGTGTATGTCTTTATATTGAACATCTCTAGTTGCTGTGTTTCTGGTCAATACAGAGAAAATGTCTGCCATATGATACACTGAGCTGCTGTCTCTTCACTGTGTAGAAAGATAGATTTGAACCTGTGTGGTTAGGCTGGTCCTTATTCAGGGTAACACAGAACCAAAAATAGGGAAGCACAAGGACTAGCGTTGATGCCCAGATATTATATTGCATGAGCAAAGCTGGGTTGTGTTGAGTGCCCCCTCACCTTTTTATTGCTTAGATATGAAACTCCTGTCTATATTTTAGGTCATTTTATGCTCTTTTCGAGTTATTTTTGTAGCTAGATCACTTAATAGCAAAAGATATTTAAAACTCCACAGCTTGTTAAATCACCTCTCCTCACCTGTAAGCTACAGTCTATCATGCTTTTAAGTGTGAATCACATTATCATGTTTTAAAATTTCCAACTCTGCAGACTTGTGGGGAAGTGTTTCACAATTTGCATTAGAGAATACAGGCCGATGAAGGTCTTTCTGGGATTTCTGTCACCCAGAGGACATTTCTTTGCTGGCCTCTTGCCCCTCACCCCTGCCATGCTCACATGCACACTAGGACAGTGAGGACCACGCACCACTTAGACTTGGAATTTTTATATTGGAGGCAAATGGAGTGAACAAGACTAACATATTGTTTGAAAGGATTCAAAAAACTAATGAATTTTGAAAGATACTGTTTTATATTTTACTCCATAAAACCTTTTAAGAGAAAAGGATTATGCAGTTTTACTCCTGAAATCCATTGTTTCCATCTTTAACATCTTCTTTCTTCCCACACAGAATCTCCTCTTTATTTTAAAGATATAACATAAAATTATGAAGTTACTGTTTCTTATCAGAGAGGATAGGGTGACAGTACCTAATATAACACACCCATTGTGCCGAGTTAAGAATCATTGCTGCATACTATTTAACATTTGAATATTAACACAGAACAAATATTAATAGCTTGAAATTTAAAATATAAACACCCTGAATAACTAACAGTACTTATTTAAAGAAGCAAAATGCAAGTATGAATTAGTATAGTCATTATGGAAAATAGTAAGGATGCACAGAACACTACAAATGGATCTGCTCTATCTAGCTATATTATTTCTGAATGTATATCCAAAAGAAATTATATCCACTTAACAAAGAGATGCCTGTCCTAGTTTATTTCTCCATTGTTGTAACAAAACACTCTGACCACTACCAACATCAGGAGGAAAGGGTTTATTTGGCTTACATCTCCTGGGTCAAGTTCATCAGAGAGCCCAAGGTAGGAACTCAGGGTAGGAACCAGGAGGCAGGAGGTGGAGCATAGGCCATGGAGGAACACTGCTTACTGGCTTGCTCCCCTGGCCCCTGCTCAACCTGCTTTCTTATACAACATAGGCCCACCTGCCCAGGGATGGCATCACCCACACTGGGCTGGGCCCTCCCACATCACTCAACAAGCAAGGAAATTCCCCCACAGACACGGCCACAGTTGGCCCAATGGAGGCAAATCCCCAACTGAGGTTCCCTCAACCCAGGTTTGTCAAGTTGACCCTGAAGTTATCCAGCACAATTGACCCCTTGTCAACTTGACACATAAACACGACACTATTAAACCACAGCCTTTCCACTTCTTGTCCCCAAGATGATGTTAACATTACTATCACAACATAAGACAGTATAACCTTAAAAAACCCATAGTCCTTAAAAAAATCCAAACACTTAAAAGTTCATAGTATCTTTTAAAAGTCTTTTGGCTATGGGCTTCTGTAAAATCCAAAACAAGTACTGTCTTATTTAAAAGGGAAGAATCGGGCACACCTAAGCAAAACACACCTAAGTCCAGCAAAGTAGCTCAAGGTTGGACGTTTGGGATTCACTCACCATCTTCTGGGCTCCAAAGGGTTTTGGCAGCTCCACCTCTCCATCTCTGCCATCCACAGCATACAGAGCTTGTCTTGAAGACACAGGCCAGCTCCATTCCACACCTGCTGTTGCCCTTGGTGGTTATCCCCTGGTCCCAACATCTCCAAAACACTGGGGTCGCCACTGAAACTGAGGCTACACCTTCACCAATGTCCTCTTCTTGCCTCTTGGAGTGCAAAGTCTCAGATTCTCTCCATGACCCCTTTAATCCTGGGGTCTTCACTGCAACTGAAGCTGCCCTTTCACTAATGGCCTTTCCTGGTCTCTGAGAGTGCCAATCTCAGCTGCTTTCTGTGACCCCTTCCAGCTTTCAACACCAGAACCATGCAGGAGTCTCTTACGCATTACCAAGTCTTGCTTCCAGCTAGAGATGGAGGCTTGGGCCCCCTCTCAATCACAGCTTCTGTGTGCTGATCCTGAGGAACTAATTCACAGAAGAGTTCACCACAGTGATGCTGGTCTCTTGTTACTTACAGCTGATTCTTCAGCCCCAACCAACCAGAACCCACAGATTCTCAATTCAAAATATCACACAAACAGCCTTGACAGTCTGTACTTAGCTATGAAGCTTCACAGGTCAGGCCTCCATTGTTCACAACTCTTTCAGCATAACTGGTCCAAGTTCCACAGCAACAAACTATGAGAACGCAATGGCTTTTCCAGTCCAAAGTTCCAAACACTTCACCAATCCTACCAGAAACAACTTGGTCAGGTCCGTCACAGCAATATCCCATGATCCTGGTACCAATTTCTGTCCTAGTTTGTTTCTCCATTGCTGTGAGAAAACACTCTTACCATTACCAACATGGGAAGGAAAGGGTTTATTTGGCTTCCATCTCCCAGGTTAAGTTCATTAGGGAACACAAGTTAGGAACTCGGCAAGAAAATTCCCCCACAGACATGGCCACAGGCTGGCCCAATGGAGGCAATTCCCCAATTTAGGCTCACTCTACCCAGGTGTGTCAAGTTGACATTAAAGCTATCCAGCATAATACCTGAACACCCATATTTATTACTCTACCATTCATAACTAAGATGGAGTCAACCTACATACCCAACAGCAGGTAAATATATAAACACAATGATTATCATTCAGTTATAAAAATTAGTATCCTATGTCTACAGCAAAATGGATTAAACTAGAGGGCATTAAGTTAGAAACAGAATGACAAACTTGTATGATTTCTTACACATATATGTGCCAAAAAATGCTAGTCTGAATGTATAGTAGCATTGCTATAGGCCAGGAGGGGGAAAGGTGGATGTATAGAGCAAGGTTGGACAGCAGGTAGCAACACTCCAGGGTTTTAAGCAAAGTGGGGTGACTATAATTCAC